TAAATCAGTTTTTTTTCCTAAATGTGTGGGACTTTCTCATTTTTTAAAATTTCTTTTTATGTTGTGATAAGTTACATAAGTAGATTATTTCCAAAAACCTATTTTAGCTGGGTATAGTGGCATAATTATAATCCTAACAGTCTGGAGGCTGAAGCAGAAGGAGTGCCACAGATTTGAAACTAGCCTGGGCTTCATAAGACCCTGTCCCAACAGTGAAATGAAAGCAGTGGTTCCTCTTAGGATGGAAGTGGCTAAGATGGGACACATGGAGCTGGTGATGCTGTGCTCATCTCCTCCTGGTCTGTCTGCTGGCATCTGGGACAGTCACTGTTCTGTGCACTTCATGTTACATTTTACCCCCTTGTGTATATTAACCTTGCTAAAACTAAACTAAGAAAGAAAGATGTATTTTCAAAAGTGTGGCGGCGGGGGGGGGGGGAGCTCTAGCTGTGTTTTGTTACAAGATTTGATTTGGGGCTGAGCATGTAGCCTCAGTAGTAGAGTGCTCACCCAAGCCTGTGTGGAGGCACTTGATTTGATCCTCAGCAAGGGTACAGGGAGGGCTATTAAATATCTCCCTAAGTGTGATTCATAACAAGCTTGTTACAGCTTTTTCCCTTCACAGAATTCCAATGAATTTGTTTCTTTTACTCCCGTTTTACAAGTGAGGGGAACAGGCACAGAAGAGGAAAGTAGCAGGTCTTACAATTCCAGGATCACAGTTCTAAAACAGTATAGCGTGTGGTTATGGTTAGAATGGTACCATTTGAAGTGCCAGTGGATCTGAGGTACATGTCTTCTTAAGGAAACCTTCTCGTGAAGGGTGACGACTACAAAGTAAGAACTGCCCACGTCTCCCAGAGCAGGCCGTCAGTATGTGAGTGTTTGCCTCACTCCGCATTTCTAGTAACCAAATGTTTTAAGACCCACTTAGGATCTGATCACTGAAAGCATAAGAAAGCCTTGACTCCAACAGGAAAGTTACCAAGTTCCCTCAGTCCTGATGGATGCTGCAACATGCATGACTCCCTGTGGTTCTGAATATGCCTGGTCTGTGCAGAGCAGAAACAGCCGTTTCATCAGCTTGATGTCTCTATGTTACTTGAACTTTTGAGCTTTAGCCAGAAGACAGCTCTAACCCCCAACTCAGTTCTTTTGTTGGGGTATGGGGAGATGGAGGAAGAGTAACTTTGTTTAGTTTGTTGGTTTGTTTGTTTTTTGAGATACAATCCCATGTAGTCCAGGTTGGCCTCAAAATTGCTATGCAAATGACATGACCATAAACTTCTGTTCTCTTGGGCCACAGGACCTTGTCCATACTAAGAAAGCACTGTGCCCCAAGTGCTCTGGGCTACCTCCCCATGCCATTTCTACCTTTTATGACAAAGTTAATGATATGGTGGGGTTTGGTTATAGAGAATGAGAAGTGACTTTTTGGTTAAACTTGTAAGCCCACCTGTTTGCTAGCACTCTAAATCTTACCCTTCTTTTGGTGAGTTTCCCTTTGCTGAGTTGCGAACAGCCTACATGGAAAGTAGCCTGAACTCCCCATGGTCAATGCCCAGCAGGTTCTTCTTCATTGTTTCTACTCTGTGTGGGAACAATGGCATCTATGCTAGAAAACTCCAGCTCTGCACACCAGGCTTGCTGCTCATAGCTGCCAGCTCTTTCATTGTGGGCAGGTGCTCTCATGCCATTCCTGAAAATCCACTAATAGTAGCTGACCAGGTTCCATCTGTGAAATGTTTGAGAAGATAAGACAGGCCCCTGCCTTAACGGCAGAAGTAGAGTATCCAAGGATGGAGCAGTGTTATGCCACATTCAGCATCTATAAGCATGATAAATTCTATAGCAACATGGGTCTCCGTGCCTCATTAGGATGGCCTCAGGCAAATACGTCTATTGTCCATCGAATTACTTTGAAAGGTATTCAGTTGTACTCATTTGTATCATCCTATATAAAAGCTACTTTTTTTGAGAGCAACTGTTTCTGTTGATTTCTGAATCTTTCCCCACTGTTCTGCAGCTTCAGACTTGGGTGTGAACCTCATCTTGTTTTCTCCTGTCCACATCCAGGGTTAGTGCTCTGCCCTCAAAATACAATGAAAACTAATTATTTCTCTCCACTTCTACAGCCAACACTGTAGTCTAAAGATGCCTTCTCTTCCGTGAATCATTAAAGTAGCTTCTAAGGTGGCCTACTGTTGTCCATTTTTGACCTCCTGTTGGAGGAAGGAGGCCACTTGTACTTCCCAGCCGCCCGGCTAGCTTACACCCAAAATAATCACGTAGAAACTGTATTAATTAAATCACTGCTTGGCTCATTAGCTCTAGCTTCTTATTGGCTAACTCTTACATATTAATTTAACCTATCTCCATTAATCTGCATATCACTACAAGGTCATGGCCTACCAGCAAAGTTTCAGCATGTCTATCTCCAGCAGCGAGTCCATGGCGTCTCTGACTTCGCCCTTCTTTCTCCCAACATTCAGTTTCATCTTCCCCGCCTACCTAAGTTCTGCCCTATCAACAGGCCAATGCAGTTTCTTTATTCATTAATGGTAATCACAGCACACAGAGGAGACTTCCACATCAGCCTCCTAGGGCATGCTTCACCCAGTCAGGATCCTTGTACGTGTGTGTCACCCTCATACCTCTGAGTGCTTGTCCCTGTGGTCTTTCATCCTCCATTTCTGTCTAAGCATGGTGGCTCAGACTCTAAGGAGTGAGTGAAAGTTCCCTGGGCTAGCACCTTGGATAGTGGCTCCACACCCTGTTATCAGAGACTAAGTTGGTGGGAAGAGTCACCTTCCTGTAAGAGAAGGTGGAGTTGGTAAGAATACATGTGGAGGTCAGTGATCAGACTGCTTCCCCAACGATCCCAGACCCTGTGCTCTCAAAATTTTCACCACCTAGGTTACTCTTTCCCCATGTAACAGGATGTTAAGTTCAACTCTCACCCCATTAGGAAAGCTGTCTGTGACCAGGTAGAGTTAAGTAATTACATTTTTTTTAAGTTGCTGCATAACATCATGGACTTGGCAAGTTCCGATGCACCTCTCTGTTAGCTCCTAGTTCTAGAGCTAGGAAGTCTGATTCAGCATGATTGTATTCTCTGTTCAAGGCTGAAATCAGTGTGTTGACCAAGTTCCTACCTAGAAGCTCCTGGGGAAATCCTCACACCTTATTCCCAGTGACAGACCAGTCCTTGCTGTCACAGTAAAGCTGGAGTCATGATTTCTTCACTGCTTGTCAGTGGAGGCTGTTCTTAGCACTTTGTGTCTGAGCATATTCTCCATACCGCTCCACCTTCTGGGTCAGAAAGTTAAAATTCTCTAAAGACCTCATGTAATTAGGTAGTATTTATTGGGGAAAAAATGTATAATTTTTATGTGGCCAACTTGAGGCTTGTTAAGTAACACAAGCTGACCTTGAACTTGCAATCCTGCCTGAGATTCCTGAGTGTTTTCCATTTAGTAATCTCTTTTAAGTTCAGTGATTGTGTTCTTATTTTAGGCATAACGGCACCTATAATAGTGTTTGATCTAAGGGAAGGTATGTGTATAATTCTTTTTTAAGACCAGGTCTGAACCGAGCAATGGTGGCACACGCCTTTAATCCCAGCACTCAGGAGGCAGAGACAGGCAGATCTCTGTGAGTTCGAGGCCAGCCTGGTCTACAGAGTGAGTTCCAGGATAGGCTCCAAAGCTACAGAGAAACCCTGTCTTGAAAATGTGGACCTGATGTGGACCTGACTGGCCTAGAACTCATCACTATGTAGACAGTATGGTCTCAAACATAGAGATCTGCAGCATATGCATTCCCTGTGATGGGGCTCTTCATGGAGCAGTCAGAGAAATTTGACTGCATGATAACATACTTCCCCTTCCTGCTCTTTTTTACAATTTTATTTTTGCATTTATTTATTGATATGTGTGCACATGCACAGACATTCCACAGAGTATGTGTGGAAGTCAAGACAGCTTGTAGTAGTTGGTTCACTCCCTTCACCATGTGGGTTCCAGGTCATCAGCCATGATGGCAAGTACCTTTTAACTACTAAGCCATTTCTCCATTAATCCAGAAATTATTTTATTCTGCTTTTCTTGGCAGCATTACTTACATCATAAGTGATAATGTGCCTCTTACACTAGAGTATATGTTCCTGATGATTCTCTGCTGGTTTTGTGCATTATTGTATTCCTAGCATCTAGAATAGTATTAGATTTATTGTAGATACTCAGTACATACTTAATAAATGACTTAGTTATTAAAACAATAGCATTTAACGCCAGGCGATGTTGGCCCACGCCTTCAATCCCAGCACTCGGGAGGCAGAGGCAGGCTGATCTCTGTGAGTTCGAGGCCAGCCTGGTCTACAAGAGCTAGTTTCAGGACAGTTCCCAAAGCTACAGAGAAACCCTGTCTCAAAAAAGAAAAAAAAAAACTATACCGTTTATTTTTGATAACCATGAAGGTGGGATTTTTGGAAAGAAAAGGTTAACTTTAGCATATGAATTATTAGACTTTATCTGCAAAGATACTATGAGAACTGTAAGTATTCATTGGTCTTTCTTTGCATGGAAGATTTCTTATTTGACTATTAAAAAGTAAGTGTGAAAAAGTAATTATCTAAATGTCCGGTACCGTTTGCATACAAGAAAGAGCAGATTAACTTTCTTGCTTGCTAGTAATAATTATGCACTTCTGACTTTCAGTTCCATCTGTGAATTGCCATAGATTAAGAACTTTTAGATGTCTGTGAACTTTTAGAAATGAATACTTGGCCTTCCTGCAGTATGCCTGATATTCCACCTTACTCTGGTATTTATAAGGCTTTCCACATAATTATTGTTCACAAATATCAATTACTGTAAATCCAACAAGAATAAGTCACTTGTAAAGATACAAGTTAGCATACCAGACTAGAAAATTAGACTGTTGCCTTCATTTTCAATGCTTACTGTTACATGTTTCTTTTACACCCTTCCTTTCTATAGACAAAACTTGCCAATGGCACTTCCAGTATGATTGTGCCCAAGCAGCGGAAGCTCTCAGCAAGCTATGAGAAGGAAAAGGAACTGTGTGTCAAGTATTTTGAGCAGTGGTCAGAGTCTGATCAAGTGGAATTTGTAGAGCACCTTATATCCCAAATGTGTCATTACCAGCATGGGCACATCAACTCCTATCTAAAACCTATGCTGCAGAGGGATTTCATAACTGCTCTGCCAGGTATGTGTGTGTTTCCTTGTAAAGTCTTAGTTAATTTGCTACAGTAGTAATGGAACTGAATCTTCAGCCTTACCCCACCTCCCTCTTAGAGAGAGAGGGAGAGAGAAAGGGTTTCACTCCATAATCCCAAGCTAGCCTCAGGTTCACTGTATAGCCAAAATAGACTTCAAACTCTATTCAAACTCACTGCAGTTCTTCTGCCTCAGCATTGAACGTTCTGGGATTTCAAGTCTTTTAACACTCTTGGCTACATTTCTCTTTTTAAAATTTTATTTGGTTTTATAGTTACATGCCAAGTCACTAAATACACCTTCTTAATCTAATACAAGAAAAAACACTGGGCATGGTAGCACTCACCTTTAATCCCAGCACTTGGGAGGCAGAGGCAGGTGGAGCTCTGTGAGTTTGAAGCCAGCCTGGTCTACAGAGTGAATTCCAGGACAGCCAGAACTATACAGAGAAATCCTGTCTCAAAAAAAAAAAAAAAAGAAAGAAAGAAAAATAAAAAAGAAAAACCAAAGTACAAAAACTAAATTCCATTTTACTTTGTTTTGTGTCCTTCTGTTCAGCCGTTTTTAATTGTTGGTTTAATCTATATGCAGTTCCAAATCTGGTTTTTTTCCCCTTAAGTGTTACCTGAGGTATGACTTTTATAATGTGTTTCATTTTCAATTTCTTTCACATTCTTAGATTTTAATTTATGGGAATTTTAGCAACAAAAATGTATGTTTGCTAGTTTGCTTGTTTACTTGAGAACAGAGTATCTCTGCCTAGTTCAGGCTGGCTAAAAACCTGCAATCCTCCTGCATCAGCTTCTACTACAGCCCATGACAGAATACTGAAGTTATAGGAATTTTTTTATTTTTTTTTTAGTATTTTTGAAAGAATGATAAATCAATTATTTGATGTGTGTCACACATAAGAGAGAGATACTTGAGAGGATGCCATAATTTTTCTGCAGATCAAACCAGGATCTTGTTCATAGAGGGCAAACACATTGCTACTGACTTGCACCCCCAGTGGGGCGGGGAGGGGGTGTTGGTGGGAAATGAACACTGAATCTTGTGCATACTAGATAAGTACTCTATCACTAAGTAACATCTCCAGAGTGTCCCAACCCCATCTTGAATGGTGATCTAGAACACTACAAAGCATAGGAATATGAAGTTCTTATATGGGCTACAAATTTATTAGGGAAGTAGTTACACACTTGGTGTTAACTAAACTGTCAGGTCTTGTTTGGGGGTGCTTTTTTATTTTGACTGCATTTGATGGTTATGAAATAGAGAAAATACAAAGAAAAAAGACTGGAAAGATAGCTCAACCAGTAAAGTATGTGCAGGCGTGAGGACATGATTTCAATCCTCAGCTGGAAGAAGGGAGTGCATTTGTATTCCCAGCTCTGGGTTGGCAGATGTAGAGAGATCCCTGAGGCTCACTGGCCTCCATGCACACATATGTGAACAGATATACATGCAAAGCCAAAAATATAATTGCCCAGAACTCTACCACACAGAGAGCCCTTTGTTTGTTTGTAAATTACATACATATTATAAAATTCTGATCATGTGTTTATTTCCCAATAGAACTGGGGGAGGGGTCTATCTTTTAAAGCTTAATATATTCTCCTAGTATACTTTTATTAAATAAGTTAAGGTGTTTTTTCTTTTCTCCCCCCCCCCCCCCCGCACCCGAAGCAGGGTTTCTCTGAGTAGTTTTGGAGCCTGTCCTGGAACTCGTTCTGTAGACCAGTCTGGCCTCAAACTCACCGAGATCCACCTGCCTCTGCCTCCTGAGTGCTGAAATTAAAGATGGACACTACCACCACCCGGCTCTATAGTACTTTTTGCAGTGGTCTGACATTATTTAATCCCTTCATTAGTCATTTTTTCCCATAAATTGTACCATGGTGGACATTCTTATGCCCTCAAAGTAGAACTGCTGTGTTAAAGAATATGAGGTGTTTGGTGTGGTTTGATTTTTTTGTTTATTTGTTTTGGCTTGGTTGTTTGGGGGTTTTTGTTGTTGCTGTTTGTTTTATGGTTGTCTTGGAAATTGAATCCAGTGCCTCACACATGCCAGCAAACTCTCGACCACTAACCTTTACCTGCTGCCTTAAAGCATGAACTTTTTGAAGGCTTTCTCCTCCTCCTCCTTTGAGGCAAGCCTTACTGTGTAACTCAGACTGGCCTTGAACTTTCACTATTCCTCCTGCTTCACTCTCCTAGGAGTTTTTAAAAGGCTTTTGGTACATGTTGGCAAGTCCTCCTCCAAGAATAATGTACTATTTAGTAGCCTTTTCAGGACTACGTACTATTACCTTGCTTAATCCTTGCCAGCTGTTGTTAAAATTTTGTTTTTCTGAACCTAAATTACCTTTTAAAATTAAAGAAATGCTTATTTGTATATTACATGTAGCCACTTTAAAACAAATTGTATATCTATCCTTTGCTAAATAAAATAGATGTTTGCCCCTTATAACATCTGGACTTTTTTTCTAGCCATAGGCAAACAGTTTTCTTTGTAAAAACAATCTGAGTGTACTTACTGCCGTGTTCTTCCCAATCGTTGAGACATGCTACTGTCTTAAGCTTAGACACTAAGAATTGAACTGGAGTCGATTGGACTAGTGCATTATGCCTAATACTGATCCCTAGTGTGTATCTGCTGACCAGGCTGTCCAATATTAAATCATGTCCAGTGCTTAACAGCCATTTAAATTTCTAAACCTACGCCATCTGGCTGCATTTAGTAAACCAAACTACTTCAAAAATTGCCTATAATCCATTAATGTAATGGTTTTGTTTGGAGTGTTAGGTGAAATTACTTTCAACGACTTATTACTCTGGTACATTGTAAAAGATCAGGAGCAATTTGATGGCAGCCATTAAAAATGTAAGAATGCCTTTTGGAAACTTGTGATGTTGTAGAAACTTTGAATATAAAGATTCAGCAAACGTATCATCATTGTATTTTGTATGAAAAACTATTTATTATATCTTTAATTGGCTTATAGTCATATTCCTTTAATAAGAATTAGGTGATGGATGCCTCCATCTGCTTATGCTTAAATATGAGCATGTGATGCCAGCAAACAAGATCCATCTAAAGCTTTCTCCCCAAGTCTGCTGGAAATGTGACGGATATCCATACAGCTTTTATAATTAGAATAATGTTTAATAAGCATATTTGGATTGTTGCTAATGGCATCCAAGTGTGTCTCCATATGATTCAGGGGAAACACGCGTGCGTGCTGTCAGTCCTCAGTTCATGCCTGCAGAAGACAGACTGACTCCTTCCCACCTTTTGAGCCTTCAGAAAACCTCAAAGATTAATACTTTTGAATGTTTTTGTCTGACCTGTGAGCTTAGAACAGCTATGGCAGGAAATGTTATAGGGTGGTCATCCTGCTTGACAGGCTCTTTTCCGCTGAGACTTTGATACATATGTGGGTGGTAAGAAAGCTTTAATTGGGGAGCACACTAATTTCCATCAATCAGTTTGCCATGATTTCTTCCTAATGCTTCCCAAGTTATCTATTGGTAAGATTTTTTTTTTCATTTTTGGTCAGCTGTCACTTGGGTTTTATAGCAATAAAATAGTTGGGTGGGGTTTTTTTTGCATATGCAGTGTAGCTCATCTTTGAACTTTAATATCCTTATGTGTCCTCTCAGGATGTTCCTGTGGCCGTGTCTACTTCCCTCATTCCCTACCCCAGCAGTCCGGTGTGCTGCCTCTCCCCAGTACATATGAGGGCATTTCTTTCATTGGATAGCTTTGGAACTGCAGCAGCAATAGAAGCAGAATGAGGAATGGACCTAATATCAAGATTTCGGAGGGTCTGAATCACAGAGTTTGAGATGCCATCTGTAGAACATCCCCTAGTGTTGAAATCCATATAGATAGATGTGAACAGTTTTCTGGACTCCTTTTTATTTTTAATGTCTTGGGTTTTGCTGGTTGTTAGCTTTAACTTCCTTATCTAACAGAAAATGGAAAATACTGTTCTTTTCTGTAACCTTATGGAAAAATTATTGACACTCATTTTACCCAAGTCTCTACTTGAGAAAGAAACTGGCCCACACTAGGAACAGTGGCATGCCTTCCTCACACAGCATGTGCTGTTCTTTTAAAGGGCTTTCTGTGAAAAATTGCTCAGCACCCCCTCTGTTCTTTTTCTGTGCTTCCTTCCCCCCTCCAAAGCGCGGGGTCTGGACCATATTGCTGAGAACATTCTGTCATACTTGGACGCCAAATCACTGTGTGCTGCTGAGCTTGTGTGCAAGGAGTGGTACCGCGTGACATCAGACGGCATGCTGTGGAAGAAGCTCATCGAGAGAATGGTCAGGACAGACTCTCTGTGGAGAGGCCTGGCAGAGCGCAGAGGGTGGTGAGCCTTTCCCTTCCTCCTACTGCAGCGTTCCCACTCGGAGTGTTGGAAGTCAGTGAGGCCACTTCACGTCATTGATACTTATTATGCTGATTTATAGCTAAAAATATGAGAGAATTGTTGTTCGTGTACTCAACAGTTTTTTTCTGACCATCATTAAATGACATATTTTGTTAATGCTGCTTTGCAAAAGAAAACTGATCACCTCCTGATTAAATAAAGCATTCTGTTCTCTAGACAGAAATTGGGACTCTGTGGAAAGGCCAAAGGGCAATTGTTAAGGCAGATAGGATAGCTTTGAATCAGGTAGAAAGTATCCACTCCTGCTTCTTCCTCTTCCGGGGAAAACAGAATTATTCTTCCATAGTAGACTTCCTCTATTTAGTTCCCACTTCCAGTGTCTCATTACCTTATAATCAAAAATTAATTTTTATGCCCAAGTTAAATAAAACTATAGCTACCAGAAAGAAAAAAATAAAATTTAGTATAAATCATTGTTTCTTCTTAAAACTTGTATATTTCTTTAGATTTGTGTGTTTAATTATGACTGGCCTTACGTAGTCAGCAGCCTGAATGACTTCATCAGTGGTGGTGTTCTCTGTGGCACTATTTCATTAAAACTTCTTGAAGATATTTTCCTTTTTAGAGTTTTGCCTCAGAATGTGTCCCTAGAATGTCACTATAAGACTGTCAGGTATGAATAAGTCATTAAGTAAGTTATTAAGTATGTTTGGTTTAAAAATGATAATCGACATGTGTGTCCCATGATTGTCTTTGAAATTAGCTGGGGAGGTCTTTTTTGCTTATAGTCATGTACAACCTCCAATAGGATTGCTAAAGGAAAGACGGGTGTGGTAGTAGAAGGAAGGAGGCTGGCAAGTGTGGAACCCCTAACTCTGTAGCACTACCCTGTGTCAAACAAGTTTAAAACTGGTCAAGGGCCGCAGGTTCCCACATTGTATATACAAGGCTTTGGGTTCAGTTCTCAGCACTACAAAGAAAAAACAAATCTTCATGTAGCTGGGTGGGCCTGGTGGTCCATACCTATAATCCCAGCAAGGAAGGAAGTTGAGGCAGGAAAGAGACAGAAAAATAATCACAGATCAACTTTCCTTAGAATTTTCATAAAATTACGCTGATTCTCTTGCTTTTGTATCCTTGAGATCCATGGGTTCATGAATATGTTGACCTCTGAGTGGTACGGCAAGTGTTTCAGAGGTTTCTGTCATTTGAGCTAATTAGGAAAACTTAAAAACCTTTACTCTTAAATCTCAGGTCAGGGATCCAAATGCTATCAATCTTCTTGCTATATGACTATAAGCCAGAACTTATTGGGGTTTTTTCCTCTTGTTTTCCTCTCAGGTGTTTTTCCTATCCTTCCTTACAATGTAAAAAAGTAGAGATTGCCTTTACTTACTGACTTTATACTCTGATAGTTAGCATGCATGGTGTTCAGAGTCCATCAGCTTTAGAAATGGAGCACACAGTTGCTTACTTGTGGAAATTTTAGGGTGTCTGAGAAGATTTCTGTATCCCTCAGGAAAGCAAAAAAAAACTCTCCTCCTGATTCAGGCCTTAAATAACAGTTTTTAAAACTCACTTCTTAGCTAAAAAGATTTCATGCACCATTAAAATACACTTGTTTCCATCTGTACTGTAAATGACAGTAGCCTTCTTCATAAACAGTAGCGTGTTCTGAAGGCAGGGAGAACAAGGAGTGGGGCTTCTGAGGTGTATAAATGCAAACGCAAAAGCAGTTAGTCCTAAAAGTGAGGTCTTTTATGTTGCTTATAAAGACAAAAAACATCATTGAAAAGATAGAATTTTAGCCTTTTTTTTTTAATTAAATAGTTTTTGTGGTACCTGGAAACAAACTGAGGGTTTTATACATGTTAGGCAAGTATTCTACCCCTAAGTTAAATCCCAGTCCACATTTTAGCCTTGTAAAGGAGCCCTTGAAGAGCGGTGTCTCCATGCAGTTAGTGCCGCTGTTTCCCTCTTAGCCTCAGAGCCTCCCTCACACACAGATCCCCTTGTCTTTGATCACATTGATAGAATTTGATATAACTTGTTATAGTCCCATGACGTGGCAAACACAAATACTTGTGTGACCTGTGAATGCCTGTTTAGTGTCTTTGGGTGACAGTTATGATATCTCCCTTTTTATTTATTGTGTTTGTGTTTGGTGGTCGTGGTGTTGAGGCCTCAGCCTTCTGAGTTCCGGGATTACAAGAATATGCCAAATTCTCCCTTCTTCAGAAGAAATAATTTATGAACAATTTCTCATTCCCTTCCTTCCGTTCTTTCCTTTTTTTAAGATACTTCTTTATAGCCCTGGCTGTCCTGGAACTCACTCTGTAGACCAGGCTGACCTCAAACTCACAAAGACACCTGAGTGCTAGGATTAAAGCCCAGCTCATTATCTGTTTTTGAAGTTATTGTTACCAAGCCCTCTGTGTTAAAGCCTTTTCATGTTGTTCCTTTCCCCTACAAGTATCTTTGAAAGTGCCTCCAATTTCTTTTCAAAAGTACACAAATAAATATGGTCTTCCTAGAATGATTGAATCACCAAGATTTAACTTCCACTTTGCTGTTATATTTCATGCCTAGATAGATTTGACAGTTTGCCCCTAGGACATGAACTTTGCAGTTTTCTCTCTTAAATAACACTAAGTAATGCTCTCTGCTCAGTAATGGTAACTCTTAAAAGTATGATAAAGGACCACTGGGGAAAAGTCCATTTTCTTAATCAGAAGATCACATTTTATGATAACATTCTAAATTTAATATTTCACATTTATCATGCTTTCACATTCTCACAGGTACCAGACAATTTGCATAGAAGTGGTCCCTGTTGTCAAAGAACATACACCTTTAAAGATTTTAACTTAAAATAGATACAGACTGAGAAGCCAGTTCTCAATATCTAGCCACTTCTTTGTAGCATCTTTGATTGGAGAAATTAATATACGTTTGTAAAGACATGGTAAAGACAGTGGGATAGAAAACGAGATTAGAGGTTCATTTGAATCCAGTTTCCTGAGGATATATAATGTATTCAAATACATTGAATGTGAAGAAAATCCTGGATTACCTCATAGGAACGACAAAGACTCAAAGGAAGACAAGAATCTTAGGAATGGTGGGCACTGAAAAAACAACAATTAAAAATCTCATCTGCATCCAAGTGTTTACATAATCAAACTGTTCAGAGAAGGGTGCCACTAATCCAGAATTATTTCTCAAAGTAGCTTACTCACCCTTTATATTGGTGTATCAGATTCCACTGTTCTTTTCACTTCTCCATTACAGATTTTCTTTTCTGTATTAAGATAGACAGCAGACCCAGCTGCCTTCCTGATAGGAGATTTTCTCAACTAATTTTCAAGGTGTCTAATAGGGAAAGGGCAGGGGAGAAGCTCTCCTGAAGACATGAAACAATTAATTATATTGTAATGGTGCTATAGAGGCACAAGTGGATGACTGGCCCAGAGAAAAAACATGATTTCTCTGGTGCCAGGATTACACTCAGAGGCATTTCTGCCTATCTCCACTTTGCAAGGCACGGTGCCAGTGAGAACAGCAGTTAGCACACCCATAGTGGGCTTTACTAGCTTCCACACCGTGTTTGGTGGGTTCTTAACTTCAGGATGAGGAATTAAATTTTTTTGCTCAGCAGGAAGTGATTGCTGTTTACTTTTTTTGGGGGGTGAGGGGATGGGGAGCACTCTAACTTGCGATGTGAGTGTTTGGAGATACGCTGTTAAAAGGAAAGAGATGCTAGCAAATGCTGCTTGCTGGAGTCGAGGAAATCAGGAACTACGTCTGCGTGTGCACAGAAACACATCTGTGAAAGCTAGCCTCCTACCTCACACATGATAGCGTGGCGTGCTGAGCATGTCTCCTCACCTCTTTCCTGCCTGCTTCTGGGCACTCGTGCAGTCCCTTTGTTTGTTCTATGAAGTGAGGACTGCCACATGGTCAGGAATAGCCCCAGTGACTGAGCTAGCATACCCACCCTGTGTAATAAATAACTAAAGGCTTGGGCTCCATAGCAGAAACATGGCTGTTACCCAGCATGCTAGGCTTCCTCTGACACTGGCACAGCTTGGCTCAGGGGCCTGAGGTAGAGTGGCAAACGACTTACCTAGCAATGTGCACACAGCTCAGGACTCCAGCCCCAGAGCCAAGGGAAAAAAAGTAATAGTGATGATTATTAACTAGAAGAATTACCATTGTTATCAAATGATAAAATCAGTAAATGTACAGAAGCCTAATCAACCAGTAGATGAGTATACGTTTATCCAAGTATACGTTTATCAGCATCCCAAAGGGGTTGGTGCTCTGATGTTCTGTACTGGAATTAATGTTGATCAGGCTCCTTAGATACCAGGAGATTAACACTTTGGACACGGGACTCCTAAAATCGCCTTACCATCGTGCCTTGCCGGCTAGTTAATTGCTATTATGTGGAATAGTAACTGAAACACTTTGAAGAACTACAAAGCTTCTTCTAAATTGATTTAAGATCTTCATTGGTAAATATTTGTTTTTTTAGGGGACAGTACCTATTCAAAAACAAACCTCCTGATGAGAATGCTCCTCCCAACTCCTTTTATAGAGCACTTTATCCTAAAATTATACAAGATATTGAGGTAAGAATTGATGTATTTCTGGATATATGCTGAGTGCTGGGGATCACTAGTATGCTTAGCTTACAAGCATTGTTACAGAAAACCCATTAAGGTATTCGGTGTGGGTTAAAAATCAGTGTCTTTTCCCAATGAATAAGGTTGGTAAAGTACAGAAGACTCCCAGTCGATTTTGGCGTAGCTTTAAAACCTTTGTTTACCGACAGATAGAGTGCAAAAGGGGATTACCACCTTCCTAAACACCAGGGAGACCTAGAACTCAAGCTGACGAACCTCCTTGAAAAGTTATCAGTAGGCGTGGATGCTCATATCTAAGAGGAGCAGTGCGCATGCGCGTTACACAGCTTCTCTACGTTTGTACCACAGAGCTGTGGCTCGCCCCTTCCTCGTGCTGCGGCCCTTTACAGCAGTTTCTTATGCTGTGTGACCCCCAGACACAAAATTATTCTCATTGTTATTTCACAACTGTAATTTTACTATTGTTATGAATTGTAGTGTAAATACTCGTGTTTTCCAGTGGTCTTAGGCACCCCCTGTGAAATGGTAGTGTGAGTCACACCCCACATGTTGACACCAACTGCCATAGAGCCATTGGTTTGAGTTCTTTCCTAATTAGCTGCTTCTTCAAATTCTCCTTTTCAGACAATAGAATCAAACTGGAGATGTGGACGCCATAGTTTACAGAGAATCCACTGCCGCAGTGAAACAAGCAAAGGAGTTTACTGTTTACAATATGATGACCAGAAAATAGTAAGCGGCCTTCGAGACAACACGATCAAGGTGAGGTCTCTTCAGCTGAGGAGCATAGCTGTGGGAGTAAGGGTGACTGTGTTCATAAAGCAATCTAAAGCATGAGTCTTAGGTGTTATTTCTAGGAAGTGAGAATTTTAGATTGGTTCTAGTACCAAAACCAATTTCCTTAAAGGGCAAGTGTCTGCTTCTCCCCAGAGAATCATACAAATGGATAGTTCCAGGGTTGAACTCCCTTCTAGAAGTGCGCTGACGGAAGCTGTTGTTATTCTGGCCTTCCTAATTATAGGCTACTCTTCCGCCTTGATGAAGGGATAACGTTAGCATTAGACTGAAGTCAGCACATGCAGGTGTCGGCTCTGCCTTGCCGTCTGGGGGTCATACATGTACAGAGCAACAAGTCTCCACAGCACCCCATTGTGACAGTGATCCTTTGCCCTCCTAGATCTGGGATAAAAGCACATTGGAATGCAAGCGAATTCTCACAGGCCACACAGGCTCCGTCCTGTGTCTCCAGTATGATGAGAGAGTGATCATAACTGGATCATCGGATTCCACTGTCAGGTAGGAAATTTCAGGCTCTAAAACACTCCACTTTCTGTCGCAGTAATTCCCTTTTCTTTAAAAGTTTTTATTTAATGTGAATAAATATGTATGTCTGTGTAAAGGTGTCAGGTCTTAGAGTTAGCTTATGGTCGGTCACTTATCACTCTAGAGCTAGATGCTTGATTTTAGAACCTTTGGGTAGATTTCTACTTTGGCATGTTTAAGAAGCTACACACAGGTTTTAATTTAGAGAAGCACCTGGCATAGGAACTTTCCCTCTCTTTATGGGAAAGCACCTCACGGGAGCGCAGGAAGGAAACGAAGCCTCCTTTTGGGTGATTGTAACAGTGCAGGCGTGTATGAGCCCTTCAAGTGTATACCGGTAAGCAGGGCTTGTTCCTTGCCAGCCCCTCCCCTGCCGTCCCCACAGTGTTTAATTGCAAGTTTCACTCGGGGAGGGGTTCTCAATTTCCAGAGGCACTGGTGATTTGATGACACAGCCATTATGCTGCTGGAGTCAGTGTAACTTGAGTTCAGGGTACCAGCCTCACTGCTGAAAACCTACTAGGTATTTCACCTGAAGCTAAAGAATTTAGCAAACATGATACATCAAAAGTAACTTTTAAAAAGCTAGAATAAAAGGCAGTTAACTACATTGTTAAATTCCCTAAAGTTATACCCTGTAAGTAGGAAAGGCTGCTCCTTTGACTGCTAGGCATAGCAGGCCGGTCCTTGCAGTTGTTGGCAATTAACTTTATCCATGCTGTGGAATGCCTTACAGGAGCTGGAGCATAGGGGAGAGATGATGTTTTGTTTGCTTGTTTGGGCGATGTTGGGACTGAACCCAGGGCTTAGCGTGCTAAGCAGCAGTCTCCCTCTTAGCAACACTGCAGAACAACATGGCTTTCCAGAAGGAGGGCTCAGCTGAAAAGGGCAATAAAATGTTTTAAAAACCAAAATCAGTGTGCAAAAATAGAGTAGTCAAGGTCATTTCTATCATGACACTGCTATGAAGAAAGTACTTGGAGTGGGAGGGAGGACTCTTGTTGACCTCTTGCCCTGAAAAGCACAGAGATGGAACCTTGAACTTAGAATCTACATAATTCTGACCCTTGACCCAGGTGGAAAGCTTAACATTCCGGGAAATCAAACTCAAGTCTACATTACTAAGTCTGTGGCAAAACATCGTGGCCATCATTTCTGTGGGCAGTCACTGGCACAGGTCTTACTGCTATTTTTTTAAATCATTTTTATTGATTATTTAGGAATCTCACATAATATGCCCCAATCATGCTTACCTCCCTGTGATGTGGAATTCCCCTCTGTATACTGTGAATACAATTGGTGAATAGAGAAACTGCTTTGAGCCTAGAGCAGAGCAGGGCAGAACAGAAGTAGGCGGGAAAAACTAGACTGAATGCTGGGAGGAAGAAGGCTGCAAAATGAGTAGAAGCCATGTAGCCCTGCCAGAGACAGATGCCAAAACTTTACCCAGTAAGCTACAGCCACGTGGCAATACACAGATTAATAGAAATGGGTTAAATTAATATGTAAGAGTTAGCCACTAAGAAGGTAGAGCTAATGGGCCAAGCAATGATTTAATTGATACAGTTTCTGTGTGGTTATTTTGGGAGTCTGGGCAGCCGGGAAACGAACAAGCAGCTTCCTACAACATCCCTGTCTTCCCATGCCTCCCCATGACCCCCCCCCAAAAAAAATTCCATTTTGTGTTGTCCACATATTTAGTGGAGCATAGTCAAATACAACCGTCCAGGAAGAATGGGTCTTTCTCCACCTGCATCTGCCAGAAGCCATCAGCTGAAGAGAGCATGCAGTGGCCAGAGCGGGGCGGAGCTAGCTCTTCCATGATGCCAACTTGGCACAGCAGCAAGGGGCAGAGCCAGCTTTCCCATGCCCATAGACATTAACATGGCTTCAGGCAGCAGCCCCAACCACAGGCTTGGGTGGTAACACAGGCACAGACCCACTCTTGGTTCTCCCTATTGCTATTCTTTGTCCTGGTTTACATGTGTGTTCTTAATAGAATAATATTAGAATATTAATCCAAAAATCTGTGACAAATTATCAGGTGATAATGACTACTTTCTCATCCTTGAGCACTGTAGCTTGGCCAGATTTCCCATCTTAAGGTTTTACCCAGGAAACACCTACTTCCTGCCTTTTCTCTTTGTCTACACTGCTTCCTTATGGTTCATTCATACTCTGCCTTGGGGCTACAAAGGAAGAGCACAACAGTTGCCATAAAAGTGGGGGGGGGGGTGAGGAGCTGGAGAGATGACTCAGAGGTTAAAGCACTAGCTGCTCTTCCAGAGGTCCTGATTTCAATTCTCAGAAACCACATGGGGCTCACAACCATCTATAATGAGATGTGGTGCCTCCTTCTGGCAGAACACTATACATAATAAATAAATTTTTAAAAAAGTGGGGATGAGCCAAGCATTATGGTCTCTTAGTTTCTTCTTAGGAGGGAGGTGGATCTTTGAATTCAAGGCCAGCCTGGTCTACAGAATAAGTTTCAGGACAGCCAGAACTACAGAGAAACCCTATTTCAAAAAGAAAGTGGGTGTTGAGGGGAGCAGGCATTGATGGTAAGCTCCATAGTCAAGAAAAGGCACTGCACTAAAGCCTAAGTACCGTCTAATTCTCCGTTATCCTTTTCAGAGTGTGGGACGTAAATGCAGGTGAGATGCTAAACACATTGATTCACCATTGTGAGGCAGTTCTGCACTTGCGCTTCAATAATGGCATGATGGTAACATGCTCCAAAGATCGTTCCATTGCTGTATGGGATATGGCCTCCCCAACTGACATCACCCTAAGGAGGGTGCTGGTGGGACACCGAGCTGCGGTCAATGTTGTGGACTTTGATGACAAGTACATCGTTTCTGCATCTGGGGATAGAACCATAAAGGTAATGGGCCACTTTTCCATGTATTCACAAGGTGTAATAAAGTGTTGATGTAAAAGTGTGATCGAGGACAACTGTATACATAAGCATTGTGGTAGAATAATGTCATATTTAATTCAATTTTTATTTCTATAAATAACAATAATGGGCTGGAGATGTAACTTAGTGGTAGCTTGACTGGTGTGCCCAAGACCCAGCTTAGAAAGATAATAACAGTTATTACAAGTGTGAGAAGAGCAGGTGTAAGTTTAAGTCCAAGAAAATAAACATACTGGAGCTGAGAAAATGGCCAGGCTGATGAAGTCCTTGTCGCACAAGCATTAAGGGCTGAGTTAAGATTCGTAGCAGTCATGTGTTTTGCATCCTAAGTTTGCGATCTCAGTGATGGGCACGAGGGCAAAGAGGGTAGATCCCTGGTGTTTGCTGGCCAGCCGTTCTCCAAAGCAGGAAACTTCGTGTTTAAAGACCTCTCTCAGAAAGTGGGTTGGAGGAGCTGAAGAGGTGACTCGGTGTGTTAAGACAGAGGACCGCCTGCTTTCACAAAGGACTCAGGTCTAGTTATCAGCTTGCAGACAGTGGTTTAAAACCACCTGGAACCGCAGTTCCCGGGGCCCTGACACCCTCTTCAGGCGTCTGTGGGCTCCTGCACACACGTGGTAAACACAAATCCAAGTAGGCACACCTACACATAAAAATAGTAAATATATCTCTAAAAAATCGGGTGGAAAGGAACTAAGGAGGGCATTGAGTATGCACACGCAGCATGAAGAGGAGGCCGGTTCTGTAAGAGGATTAAGGAGCAGCCAGCTTCACAATAGTCCCGTGTTACCAAGAACTAAGCTCAACTCTGATTTACATCTCTGTTCTTTGAGACATTGGCATTCTCTGATGACTCACTTCTGTTTTCTGCTTACCCAGTACTGGCAGAAAGTGTACCGATCAACTGCTCAGTTGTCATTTTTCTCTCTCAGGTGTGGAACACAAGTACTTGTGAATTTGTAAGGACCCTAAATGGACACAAACGAGGAATCGCCTGTTTGCAGTACAGAGACAGGCTGGTGGTGAGTGGCTCATCTGACAACACCATCAGGTGAGCAGCAGGTGCCCTTTCCCAGAATGGACCCCGTCACCCTTCCAGTCACCATTTGTGCACAGATCTCATGATCTTTAACTGTCTGTATGTTGTGGTTTGTTGTTGTTGTCTGGGTTTCAAGACAGTTTCTCTGTGTAGTCTGGCTGTCCTGGAACTGGCCTCTAGTTCACAGAGGTCCTGCTTCCTGAGTGCAGGGATTATAGGTGTGGAACACCACCACCTAACTTTGGTTTGGTTTTGATTTTGATTTTGGTTTTTTTTTATTCTATTTTCATATATCCCTTCACTCCTCCCAGTCCCCCCCTGGGAACACATCTCTCCTCCAATCAAATATGCTTCATTTGTGCAGCTTCTTACAGGTCTAAAGCTGCCCTCCCTGAGAGGCAGCACAGAAAAGCTTTTTGTTGGTGTGTTTCCTTCCCGTGATCTTTTCTTACCAAATAGACCTATTTCAGGGGAAGTGCTTAAATAAGAAACTTAAGACAGCTAATGAAGGTTAAAGGCCCTTCTTTTAAAATTCTTTCCTGTAGGGCCGGGCAGAGGCAGGCGGAACTCTTTGAGTTCGAGGCCAGTCTGGTCTACAGAGCTAGTTCTAGGCCAGGCTCCAAAACTACAGAGAAATCCTGTCTCGAAAAAGAAACAAACAAACAAACAAAATTCTTTCCTGTGGTTTAAAAATGCTAATGAATAAAGGCCGTTTCCCTACGTCACTGTTGTTCACAGCATAAAGAGAAAGGGTGGAAGAAAGATTGTTTCTCTGCTAGAAATTATGACTTTTCACTTCAATACAATAGTTGGCCAGAGAGCTGATTGTCTTTAAATTTGAAGGTTGCACAAATCTGTACTTTTTGTATTTTTGTCCTTACAAAGATGAATGACAGAGAGGTGGTAATAATTTGGAAATTTTATCTGTCATCTCCTTTCCTTCAGTGCCTGAGGGAAGAAAGAGCTAGGCCTGATGCATATCAAACCTGCCACTCTTGGAAGTCAATGGAATTGGGCTGAAAGCATTAAAACTATTGCCGGCCTGGCTTTGCTCTGTCGCTGTGACTGCCCTACACAGTGCTGAGGGCAGTGTCCTCCAGCAGAGGTGGAGCGACTGGTGCGAGTGGGGGCTCAGTGACACGGTGTTTCTCACTCTTAGGGGTGACTTCAGAAAGAATTACTCTCTCTTCCTAGGGACTGCACGTTAAATTCCCGCTGGAAGTACCTGGTTTCAGAGTTGTATAAAGCATTGCGTTTTGAAAACATTTACAGCATTTGGACTTAAATCACACTTTTTCTGCCCAAATTATATGACAGATAGCAAATATTATATTGAAAGTAATATACTTTTATATGAGTGACTGATATTTGTGAAATTTTCAAATATATTTTTATTTTATGTGTCTGACTGTGTTGCCTATGAATAGTATTCACACCCATGTGTGACTCACACCCAAGTTGGTCAGAAGAGTGCTGGGTCCTCTGGGACTAGAACTGTGGAAAGTGATGAACCTCATGTAGGTGCTGGGAACCAGAACTCCTAACTGCTCAGTGTTCTTCCAGCCCCCTCTGTGAATGCTCAGCGGATGTGTGAAATATATTGTAATATTCAAGACTTAGAAATGAATCCATGTAGCTACTTGACTCGGTTTTCCTTCCAGATTGTGGGACATAGAGTGCGGTGCGTGCCTGCGTGTGTTAGAAGGCCATGAGGAGCTGGTGCGCTGCATTCGATTTGATAACAAAAGGATAGTGAGTGGGGCCTATGATGGGTGAGTTCACTAACAATATGACAAGACAAGTAAATGTAAGAGCTCAGGCTGTAGCTCAGTAGCAGAGCATGTGCTTAGCATGTGCAGGGCTGGGCTCAGTCCCTAACACCTTTCTTCCCCAAAGTCTGTGTCTTCGTCCTTCCCAGTTTATGGTATTAGAAGTAACCTTCCTTGACTCTAACTCTAAAGTTAAAATACACCATTGCTTAATTGGTATTCACCTCTCTCTCTCTCTCTCTCTCTCTCTCTCTCTCTCTTTCTCTCTCTCTCTCTTGCTTACTGCTTCCTAAAACATTCTTTCTAGTCATTAATTGTATTTGTATTGATCATTATTTTGGCTATTAGATTCTATATTTGTCTGGTTTGCCCTATAAAGCAAAGAACCAGACAAATCCAGCATCGCAGGCTAGGCATGTAGAGTGTCTATTCTAAGAGAGGATGTGAGAGCACAGCCCCAGATCTCGACATCCTCCGATTCCTGGGAGCTACACTCGCTACCCACTCTTATTGCCCTGGTTTTGTGCTGTTCTTCCTTGTGTTTCCTTACGTTTGCTTTTAACTAAGACTTTTGTCCCCTTTTTGATCTTCAGAAAAATTAAAGTGTGGGATCTTATGGCTGCTTTGGACCCCCGTGCTCCTGCAGGGACTCTTTGTCTACGGACGCTTGTGGTAAGAGCCTTATTGTTAAAGGGGACTGAAGAGCAGGTAGGGGAAGAAATTAAATGTTAATGTGCTGTAGAATATAGATCTGGATTTTATAGTTAGATTCTCACAAAACCTACAAAGTGGAAAAGCAACCAATACATGACAATAAAATACGTTTATATAGTGCCTTTCATCCAAAAGTGCTTTAGAGACTGTGTATGGAGAGGACTGTGGCAGCTGCTTAACAGCTGCATGGCACCTCTCCCACATGTAGTGCAGGAAGTGAGTAAGGATTCTGTATCCTCCAGAAGCAGCAGGCGGTACTGAGGGAGAGAGAATATAATTACTCAAATTGGAACCTGTCCAGAATCTAAGGACCTGAACACCTGTACTTGAAAAAAAGAAAAAAAGTATTCTGGGACTCACTGGGGCCCCGGTCAGCTCCTTAGTTCTGCATCCCATTCACTAGGCAGTGCCTCCAGCACCTCAAGCCCAGTCATCGTTATCCCCATTTACCCTATGCTTGAGCATCTTGACACTTGGCGAGAGAAGTGAGTCAGGAGGAGAAGTGACCTCTTCAAATGCTTTGTAGCGGGGCCTCATGTGGCCCTGGCTGGATTGAATTGTGCTCCTTCTGCTCCCATCTCCCTAGTGCTGGGACCACAGGCTCAGACTGACAAATGTTGCTTTAGTTAGATGTGTGTGGATCCAGAGTAAAAGAATCTTTTGGACAACTCAGGGAAGAGATGAAATATTAAAAGCCCAGTGTTCTGAGTTCTGGTTTAACATTCAGGAAGTCTCAGTTCTGGAGAGAAGGAAAACTTTGTCTTTCTCAAATTTAAAGCACTTTCTTAAATTGTATATGGTGGCATACACAGGTAGCTCAGCATTTAGAGACTGAGACAGGAGAATTGCCATGTGTTCATGAAAGGCCTGGACTACAGATTGAGACCCTGTCCCTTGGACCCAAAAACCTAAGATTGGATACATTCTTTTAATATCACATGAGCTTGGCCTGCTCTCTTCAAACATGTCTTCAAGTGGGTATTCTATGCATGGATCATTTTGGCATGTGTCTGTCATCACAGACCTTAAAAATGAGACAAGAGGAGTGGTGCATACACCTTTAATCCCAGCACTCAGGAGGCAGAGGCAGGCCGATCTCTGTGAGTTTGAGGCCAGTCTGGTCTACATAGTGAGTTCCAGGACATCCAGGGCTACATAGAGAAACCCTGTCTCAAAAATTAAATGGAAAAATAGATAGATAGATAGATAGATAGATAGATAGATAGATAGATAGATAGATAGATAGATAGATAGATAGAT